TGCTAGCGCCGGCCCCGGGCGCGCGGCGCTTGGGGGAGGGGAGGGAGAGAGCGCCCGGCAACCCCAAATGGTTGGGGACCACTGCACTAAGCTGTATTGTAGACATTTACTAATAGTTAACTGTTCAAATGTTTGTTCTCCCCATGAGTTGAATCTGTCAGAAATAAGATTTATGTATTGTTACTAATTTTATATTATATATATATTATTAGCACAAAACAGTTTATGTCTCTACATGAAACTTGTGTTTCATACTCTGCTAACATCTGGAATGTTGTTGTTTATGGTTGGTACAGAGGAGAGAAATGTATATTAATCTTCTACTTGTCATAAACAAATGGACTATTTAGGTCAAATTAAGCTCACACTTTGAGACAGACTAAACTGCTACATCTGTGTGAGCTTCTCTAGTTGTGCAGATCTACCTTTGATGAATAAACTAATTGAGCTGAGTTATCTAATGTCTTGCAATCAATAATTCACACTGAAGCACTAACAGAACTAAACTTTTTTCTAAATGTTGGAAGTTTCATGTAGCAGAACTAATTTAAAAGATTTCTCTTTGTCACAGGTGTCAACATGAGAACTTAGTAGAACTTCTTGGTTTCTCAGGGGATGGTGATCAGCCTTGTCTGGTATACGAATACATGCTCAATGGTTCACTACTTGACAGACTGGCTTGTCTGGTAAATGAAATTTATTATTTGTTTTCTAACTTTGTCGTGTACTTCGGTTGATGACTAGAAAATTATTATAATGTCCTTGAGACACTAAGGCTGTGTCTACACTGACACGATTTTGCACAAAAGCGGCCACTCTTGCGCAAGAACTTGATGTCTGTCTACACTGGCCGCATGTTCTTGTGCAAGTAAACTGACATTCTAATGTATAAAATCCGGGCTTCTTGTGCAAGAACTCAGATGCTCCCACTCAGGAATAAGTCCTCTTGCGCAAGAGCTTTTCCAAAAGAGGCCAGTGTAGACAGGCAACAGGAATTTCTTGCACAAGAAAGCCCTATGGTTAAAATGGCCATCAGAGCTTTCTTGTGCAAAAGAGCATCTACACTGGCATGTGCTTTTGCGCAAGAGATGCTCTCTTGTGGAAGAGTTTTTGCAGAAGAACTCTTCCACAAAATAGTTTTTGCATGAGAACGCGCCGGTGTAGATGTAGCCTAATGGATTTGAAGTGGTCATACTGTGATATTCTATTGCCTTCCATTTAGAAGGCAAATACAATTAACATTTTATATAAACATTTTAATGTATTAGGAGAGTAGATATAATATAATTATATTACAATTAACTAATTATTAGAACAAGACAGACCGTTATGATTAACAACCTGTCTGGAAAAAATGGCAGCTCCCTCCAGAGACTGAAAGTTTTGTGAAGTGTTTAAATACCTGTAACTTTGTTATCAGTGACTGCCAGAGTTCATTGTTTGTTCCAGTAACAATGTCATTTAAAAACCAATCTGTTATCTTTTGTGATAAATTTCTCTCTTCCCACCCTATTTATTGTAACCATTTTTGTCAGGCATACAGGTTCTAAAACTTTGTTTCTTGTCCTAGTCCAGGAGTGGGGAACCTGGGGGCCAGATGTGGCCCCTGGCTTGCCTGGATCTGGCCCCCAAAGTTCAGGGCTCTCCCCCAGCATTAGGGGGCCCACACTGGTGCTCCAGCCCTCTACCCACCCTCCCTCATGGGACTGATGCACACAAAAACTACTATCCTGGACCCCCCATGCTGTGGTGTTCCAAAGGGAATGTGGGGAGTGTCTTTCTCCTTCTCAGTTGCAGGCCTCGTCAGTGAGATGGGTTTTTTTCTTTTTGCTTCTCACTTGTGTGCAGCCCCCAACTGATCTTTCTCTGGGTCAGCTGCTCCCAACTCAAAAAAGGCTTCCCACTCCTGTCCTTGTCTCTATCCTTGTAACATCAGTTGTAACTCCAGGAACATGGGAGTCAGTGTCAACAACTGTAAACCAGTTTGCATAATGGCTTAGTAAGCAGAATGATAGTAAGTACTATTTTCTGTTAAGTAAAATTCTTGTAGGTTTGAGCCCCCTGGTAACTGTAACAAATGACATCTGTGTTTGGCAAGGTGTGCAGCTGCCTACATGAGGGAGAAAATGTTAGCACAGAAATGTCAGTATGATTTACAGATATAATTTACAGAAAGAATATGAGAAGAAAGGCTTCTTACTTCATGTACAGTGTAGGGATATTAAGTATCGGTTAATTGAATAGTCGAGTAATCTCGAGAATTCTTATCGGTTAGTCGACTACTCTATAGTCCCCGGGGGTGGGGCCGGAGCCAGTGCTCTCCGGCCTAACCTCCTGAGGATTCCCCTGCCACTTCTCACTGTGTTTCTGTATTAGAGGCAACAGTGCAGGGTGCCAGGCAGGAGCTGGTCTGCGAGGGGAGCCAGTTTAAAAACCAGTTCCCTCACGGACCGGCTGCCTGTCACCCTGTGCTGCTGCTTCTGATAAAGAGGCAGCAGCGCAGGGTGGCAGCAGCCCCTCTCTAGGGTGGGTCTGAGTTCCTGAACCTGGTGTGAGCCAGAACTGAACGGGGCTGCTTGCCCACCTGGTTCCTAATACGCTTTAAATGCAGAGCCGCAGCAGGGGTAGGTCCCAGACCCATTTCAAGCCAGGACTTGATCTGAACTTCTGGCCAGCCTGCTAAAAAATTTGGGAGGAGAGGGGGGAAAATGCATGTAGTCTATAGCATTAACCTATAATCTTTTGCTTATTGGTTAATCGACTGTACTATTACATCCCTAGTACGGTGCTGACCAAATGAACATTACTGCCTTCTACCCACACTGTATTATTGCCCCTTTAGAAGACTCTGACCAAAAAAATAGTGTGTTAGTAATAAAACTAGTCAAAGATTATAAATTGAAGTATACACATTCATCTCAAGAACTTTCTTTGCAGGAAAAGAGACCTGAAAGATCACATCTTTTTTACATTTGTGACTCGGTTTTTTTGCATTAATCTCAAGAGGAAAGCAATTGTTTAAGAAAAACTAATGATAAGAAAAAACTGTAATATGACTTTTAAATGGACCTTACATGTTGACATTTCATAATCAAGCTAAATCACTTTGTCAGGGTTAAGCTTTTAAATGCCAGTCTTGTCTATACAGAGACTTGGACCTGTTTCAGAAAAGGTGTTTGTTTGAGGTTTTTAAAACTGATTTAGTTAAACCAGTGCAAGTCTACTTGCAGATGTTCTTTATTTTGGTTTCAGAGTAGCTTATTTCAGTTTCACTTAATCCTGTAGAAAACTGAAGAACTAAACTCAAATAAGACACTCTTAAACTGAAATAAGTTTTGGTGTAAAACAGTGTCACTGTTTTAACGAAAGGGTTAAATATAGTTAAATACATTTAGTTAAACTAAGCCATTATAAACCTGGGTTAATCCACTAGAAGAGTGTCCACTTAATACTGGTATCAGTTTAATAAAATCATATTAAAAACTGACTTAAAACTAATGCAGCATCTGAGTGTAGACTAGCCCTAAGTGTCTCTGCTGCTGTAAATAGATCCACTTAAAAACAGCCCAAAACACTTTAAACTGATGCAAGTTGGCTTGTAGGCAAGCCTTGTTTTATGGAAGGGGCATATGTGAAAACCTTTTGCAAATTGTTTCTGTAACCTCAAGAATCAGCACTAAGGGTACAGCTAGATTACTAGGGTTTTTCAGGATACTGGAGGTATTCTGACAAAGACTCTGCCACATCCAGGGAACTTGTTTGCTCTTCCACCTTTTTTTGAAGAAGAGCAAACACGCTCTTTCAGAAGCCCCTATATTCCTTGTTCCACGAGGAAGATGGGGGCTTTTGAAAGAGGGGGGGTTTCCAAAATTTGGCCCAGTCTAGATGGGCCAAATTTTGGAAAAACCTTTTCTAACAAAAGTATCGGAAAAAGATAAGCAAAATGCGGAGCGCAATTTACATATCTTTTTCCGATAGATCTTTACAGTCTAGACATACCCTGGGGAAAAAAAGAGCTGAGCAGAGCACTCACTACCTGAAGGGGAGGCAGAAATAGGCCAGGCCCTTGCAAGCAAGGGAGAGCACAAGCTTATTCCCTATTATGTGTCCAAGGCTTGGCCATGCAATGACCAGAGGGGGAAATTGTGGGTGTCAGAATATTTATTATTTGCTGATTTTCAAGAACTTAACCGGGTACTTGGCACTGCTTTTTTGGCTCATCTCCTCCACTACACAGAGCCTAGGCTGAGCTGAGCTGAGCTGGAGAAAGGGCAGGGAATTCATGCCAATCCTTTTCCCTAGGTGGTTCACTGGGCTACAGATGGTGGGAGTTAAATGCTCCCATTCTTCCTGTCTAATTAGTGCCATGAACCAAAATGAAAATCTTGTGCTGGTAAATTGTATGTTGGCAGTCACTTCAAGAAAGAACATTAGCTTTTCACTTAGTCATTCGTATTCATGAAGTTCTTTATTGATTGGCACAATTTGCCTTGGTTGTGTGGATGTGATGTTGTGACTGCTGAGGCTGAAATAAAATCTAGGAAGTAATTGTTGTTAATGTAGTTAGCTATTTGTGTTGCAATTTTGTGATTGCCAGTGTGTAAGCAAAGAAATAAAGAGCATGTTGTGAAACAACCTCATGCAGTTCTTAAAGTAAAAAGAGGTGAGGGATTGATTGGGAGGGAAGAGGAAATGTAATGGGACAAATCTACACATTGCTATACATGGGAAGAAAGAGAAATGTTTACAGTATTAATCTTTAAAATGGCCTACTGAACGCAGCTATAAAACTGTCAGACCAATGTTGAAAGCAGTGCAAGAGATATGAAACATATCAGATTATCATCTCTTGAAATTTTAATATAGCCAAATGAGTTTGGATATATAAATACTGACTTTCAAGAACTCTAGTCATGTCTTTAATTATCTTAAAATGTTTCCTTTTCCATAGGTCTCTTGAGAGTTAAGGGAAAAAAAGTGTTAATGATCTAATGATAAATAGTGATGCCTCAAGTTTATATGGCATCCAAAACCTAGTGTCTGGAATTTAGATCTTGACCTACTACATAAAATTATTTGTTGGGGCCTGTTATGTTCTATCAGTATTGAGAGAATCACAAGGGATGGCTAAAATTTAAAGTAAAAAAACTTAAAAAACAATGAATAGTTCTATAGCACTTTAGAGACTAACAAAGTAGATGGTATCGTGTTTATGTGAGCACAACCCACTTCTTCAAATGAATGGAGTAAGAGGTCCAGCGTACAAAAAAA